AGGATTAATTTGTTTTTAAGTGTTTCTTTTTTCCCCCCTGTACTTTGTATTTTGTATGGTTTTTTTCTCTTTTATATATATATTTTTTCCTTGTTTCTTCTCTCTTTAACTATGTAATTTTTTGTTTTTGAAATTTTAATAAATATCATTAAAAAAAAACAGATATTGGTTCAAGAAGTGCAAATTAGGTAGTTTTTCATTAAAATGAGAAATATATAGAGATAATTTCGCCTTTATCCCTAAAGCAAACCTGTAATTTTAGCATTTTTATTTAATGGTTCCCAAAGTGGCTAATAAGCAAATAAATGAAAATCAGAAATGGAAAAGGAGCAACATAAAATAAAAAGATAATGTAAATATCACAGCATAAAAACCTTTATAGATTAATAGAAAACCTGCATAAACCAGTGGTTCTTAACTTTTTGGGGGATTCAAAGACACCTTAAGAATCTGATGAAAACTGTGGACAGCCTTCAGAAAAAGGCACACAAGCACAACATTTTGAACATAGTGTACTTTATTGTATTATATTTGTTTTGTGCCCAGTTCACGGTCCCCCTGAAGCCCATCCACAGACTTCCCCAGGGGTCCGTGGACTGCAGGTTAAGAACATTCAGCCTAAACAAAACCTCAATTTGTGGGTTAGGCAAAGAGAATTCCATAACTAGGATGTGTCCACAGAGAAGATCCCCAAACAATCTTGCATCACTCTGTGTTGGAATGCAGAGATTCACAATGCTTCTACTCAGCCCATCCTGTTCCCCTGTCCATATGCTCTGGCAATGGGTGTGATCATAAGCATTGTGAGCACAACTCAAGGAATGACATTGGGTGGGTATCCCTTGAGTCAGATCTATCTGCTTTTTGTTAACAAAAGGATTTCTTTCTGTGCTTCTGGATAAGCGTGAAAATGCTTGTTTAGAAAGGCATCTGGGCTGCTTGAGCAAGTGACACTATAATGGTCAGGGAGTGTTTTTGTTTTTTTCTGTACTTCCTGAACCTGTAATCTGAATGCAATGCCTACAATAAATATTTCACTAAACATGGTTCTCTCCCATTTTCAATAATTCATTAACAGCATGAGTATGTGCACAGGGATAGCACTGGAAGATCATATATTTTTTTTATTAACATGCAAAAACTTTATACATTTTGCCTAGGGTTGCCATATTTCACAAAGTGAAAATTCAGACATAAAATTGTTGAGCAAAATCGCAGAGAAATTAGATGTTTTTGAGCTGTTTCTGAGGAAAATTGGCAACAATGACACTGCCGACATGGGCTAGGTCTGCTTGCGGCTGCAGTATTCTGGAAAATGTTGGGATGTCCAGGAAATCACTAATTTTGCCACTCAAGGAGTATAGTTTTATACTAAGTAAAGGTAAAGGACCCCTGGATGGTTAAGTCCAGTCAAAGGCGACTATGGGGTTGTGGCGCTCATCTCACTTTCAGGCTGAGAGAACCAATGTTTGTCCACAGACAGCTTTCTGCCTCATGTGGCCAGCATGACTAAACAGCTTCTGGCGCAAAGGAACACTTGGACAGAAACCAGAATGTACGGAAATGCCATTAACTTTCCTGCCACAGCGGTACCTATTTATCTAGTTGCACTGGCATGCTTTTGAACAGCTAGGTTGGCAGGAGCTGGGACAGAGCAACGGGAGCTCACTCCGTTGTGGGAATTTGAACCACTGACCTTCCAATTGGCAAACCCAAGAGGCTCAGTGGTTTAGACCACAGTGCCACCCACATCACCTTTAGTCTTTTACTGGAGACTCTGACAAGGGAAGGCTGGCAAAGTGGTGGGGAGAGAAAAGATCATTTTTTCCCTTTAACACTCCTGAAACTCCCCCACCTTGAAAAACTGAACAGAGCTACAAAACGTCTCTTCCAGGGTACGTGGAGCAGCGAGCAGGCAAGCTGCAATGTTGCAGCATAAGTCTTACTTGTTACATCCTTTACAATGTCTGGGCACACCCCACATTAAGCATTAGCTGAAGCTGAGCTTTTAATACACTGAGGATGACTCAGACAATCCTAGAGCTCCTTCCAATTTGAGAGGAATGGGAAATACCCTGATTTAAACATTGCCAGGAGCGCCTGTTGTCAGAGACGGCTAAGATACTCTACATCAGTAAGAGGCCCAAACAACAGGAGATCTATGCCGCCAGCAGATAGACTATGCAGGTAGAAATGGAGCCACCATTACTGTATAAGTTTAGGATTATTTCTGACTACCTGAACATTATGCAGTGTTTGGAAATGCATTATTCATAGTTCTGGTCACCAAGAAGTTTGGAATATATTCTGCATGTCAAGACTGTATACCCTGAGCATTCTCCCTGCAATCTGGGATTTATATTTGTTCACCATGATAGAGCACCATCTTGAAACAATGCCATGGCCAATTTGCATAGTATTTGCATGCATATGCTGGAGGCAACTTCAATACGACACATAAGCCATGTACTTTTGACTCTGTTCTGTGTCAGAAAAGTATTTGAAGCAATTGAAATGACATGTGTTGGGAAGCGTGACAAGACTTTCCTCACCAGCTGAGTCTTCAGCCAAAAGCTTTTGTATTGCTAATATTTAATGGGCAAAACCACAAATAGCTAATAAAAATCAGGAGATGTTTTGGAAATGTTTTACTCACTTTTAAAATGAAACATTAACACCAATTTTTAAAAGAAATGAGCAAAGCATCAAAAGAGATAGGGGTTTATATTTGAAAAACATGGAGAGTATCCTGGCCTACAACTAGGGCATAGTTTGTATTAAAAGTTATAATGTTAAAGGTTAATATGTAGTGCTTTTTACCAATATCAAGGATTTTAAACATACTGGAATTGAAAACTGCACATTATATTTTAGAGACAGTGGGTGAAAGTCAACGTCACACTATTACAAATATTCTATCTACAGATCTGCCCTTCCATCCCCCTGTGTGCTATTCTAGGGGTTCTCCTGACCCCCCCTATACAGTGGGAGGAGAGGGAGAAAGCCCCATTGCACAAGTGGACACCCTGAAGGCGTTTGGCAAGTGAAACATGCCCAGTATTTCCCATTTGCTTTACCATTTTGCAAACACTAAAGTTCAACACTGCATTTTTTTAAAAAATAGTTAACAGAAATTCATTTTTTCTGAACATATATTCTTGGGATTTTTCTTGTTGTGGGGGAATAGGAAGACTATGAAAGTTATGAATACAAGGCTGAGTTTAATGTGCATTTGCAGCTTCCCATTTAAGTAGCACTGTCCTCATGAGAGCCCTCTCAAACAGCTGCTATCCAGCTAAAATATGGACAAATCCACAGTTAAACCTCATTACTTTTGTAGTCCTGCAACCTGTGGAGGGGCACAGCCTCCCCAATCCTGTCCCACAATCTCATATGATGTCATTGCTTGAAAGAGTCACCTTTTAATGTAAACCATTTCCTTTATCTCAAGGTGGAACTTCTCCACTTCCTTGCATTATCTACCCTGTTGCTTCAGCCACTGCTTATCTTTTTCTGGTATTAGAGTTGGGAAAACGGAGAAATGGTTGGGGAGTGAAGGTGCTGGAGCTCAGAGAGTTCAGTGATTTTTATCTCACGCTCATTTTACTGTTAAAAATAACACACACACCACTTTTTATTTCAATGACTGAGCACGAGAATGATGGCCACATTGTTGTCTAGGTTCGCTCTCCAGATGGCAACAAAAATAGAGGTTTCCTGAGGGCACTCATGGGCTGGCTGAGCAGTCCCAAGTTGGGCAAATCTGATCTAAAGCTGGGAAGGCACATCTGTGGCCCTCCAGATGTTGTAGGACTTGGTAATGTTTCTGCATTCAACAACAGACGCCAAGAATGAGAAATTGGGTTTTTGTTTTTTTTAATACAAGAAGCTTTATTCAGAGGAGCTCCTAAAACAGTCTGCTAGAACTCAAAACTCAAGGCCTAAGGAATTGCCCAGGCGATAAAACTCAGGCTGTAACACTAAGGAAGCTTCAACGAATTCCAGATTCATCATTAGATTGCAGCTCCCATCAGCCATGGTTACCAAGGTGAATGGAAAGGGATGATGCGTACTGTAGTCGAAGAATATCTGGGGGCCCATAGGTTCCTCACCATTGCTCTAAGGGTCAGACCTCTGAGCATAAACGGGTCAGTAAAAGATTGCAGCGAGTATGCATCTCCCTCACAAAATTAAGTCCTGCACTGCTTTATTTATTTAACTAGAACTATATTCTGCTTAATAAGGGGGGGGGGGGGACACATCCAAACGGTCTACCGAAAACGACTTGTTGCTTAACAGTTTTATTGTTCTCTTAAGTGTCCTTATTGGGTGAAACGTGTTGGTTTCAAAAAACAAACAAACACAAATGGATTTTCTTTTAAAAAAACCAATAATTTATAGAGCCAAACAAACTATAACTAGTGGTAAAATTATCCATTAAAAAGTGAAGTAGAAAAAAAAGCTGGTTTTATTGAGAACAGAACAAGTGACATTTTTACATTACATTAGAAGTTGCGTGAGGAAAAGTGTTTTCTCCCTTTGCAAGGAGCGACGTGATTGGCTGGCATCAGGCGGAGAGTTTCTCTCACACAATTTTCAACCAATCACGCTTCTCCTGTCACAACGCATATTTCGCGTGTCTCCAGGCCTGTGTCTCGCGCGCGTGTGAAAATATTATGCGGCGCGTGGCGCGTGGCTAGGCTGCTTTTTTGGGTCGCGGAGGGTAAAGTCTCGTATACCGATCTCGTCTAGCGACGGAGGCTGAAAGCTCAGCCTATTCCAAATCCGACCAATCCTCGCCGAGGTAAACTGGAGGGAATCATTCCATCTGCGCATGCGCTCTGCTCCCCTCCCTTGTCTATGCGTCACTTGCTCCCTGGAGGAAAAAAGAAGCCAGCGAGGACGCTCCGAGCGCATGCGTGCATCTCTTTACACTCACTACACCCTGTCAAGGACCGTTCGGAACAGCGCCACGGCGCTTCCCAGTAACGATTGGTCATATGTTATCCTGTGTATCGCGCCCTGATTGGAGCCGCCGCTGTGTCAAACAGAGGCAGAGGTATCCGCCTACTAACATTTCGCCGATTGGCCGGCAGCTTCCCCCGTCCATTGGTTGGACCTTGACAGCCTTCTCTCCCGCCCTCCGCCCAATCACCTCGTGGCATCGGGGTCCTGACGGTGTGAAGAACGTAAGAGACCGAACCGCTCCCCTACTGCTAAGCGAAACATAGTCCTCGCGGCCGGCGGCTCTCTGAGAGGAAAAGAAGTGAGCCAAAGAGAGCCTAGGGACGCGCGCCGGGCTGTTCGAGCACCCGCGGGTCCTGTCGCTGACTTAACCGGCCCGGGTAGCGGGGCGGCGGCTGTGTAAACCGGCGGAGGAAGACGAGAGCGAAGGGTGTGTGTGGCCCGTATATTGCCCGCCTAGAGAGGCTTGAAGGGGAGTGGGCGGGGGCGGGGGGGGGAGAGTGGAAGTAGTTCCGGCAGCACCTTGGCCGTGTTGCCTAAAAATAGCGCCCCGTGGATATCCGTGCGCCGGTGTCAGTGTCTCCGGAGGAGCGTCAGTTAGGGAGGCGGCGGCAGGAGCAGCGGAGGAAGAAGAAGGAGGCGGCGGCGGCGGCGGCGAGAGAGGAAGGAAAGAGGCAAACGGGTGAGCGAAGAGGGTGGGCGCGGGTGCTCATTTATGGGGTGGGGGAGCGGCAAAAGGGGGGGGCTGTTGGAGGAGAAGGTGGCCAAGGAGTTGTGGGGGGGATGCGATATATTTTATCCCTCAAGTCCTTACCCCAAGTTAGGAAGGTGATGGAGTTAAGGGGTTGGGGTGTTCAGGGGGGCATAGTATGAGAGAAAATGAGGGAGAAGGTTCCTCCCTCTTTCTGCTTCTCTCCCCCCCTCCAACTCGTTTGCCACCATTTCCCCCCCCTTTCCTACCTCAAACAGTTGCAATTTGGGGTGAGCAGGTGAGGAAAATCAAAAGTTTCTGTAGTATCTGTGTGATGACAATGATGATAATTGGTAGCTAAAATGCACATACAGTCTCTGGGCAGTAAAAAAAAATGCACACATGTGTTTGTGTGTGTGTGTCTCTGTATACTCGTCTAGCTCAAGTAGTTGCAATTTGGGGTGAGAGGATGAGGCTAGGCGGTGAAAGGGGGAAATTAAAGTTTTTGTAGTATTTGCATGAAAATAATAGGTAGCAAAGATGCACGCACATATAGTCTGGGAAGCAGAAATGCACATGTTTGGCTATATTTGTGTGTGTGTATACCCTAGTATGTATATGCACTAGTGTGTGATATGTTTATGTATATTCTGATTTGATCATGGCTGTAAGCAAAATGTGTGTGTGTGTGTATAAAACACAAATATCTGAACGTATTGTCTGTGTACATATACAGATATACATGCGTGTATATATGGTTTTTTTTTACAGACACACATGCTTAAGTTAATGCCACAGTCAAATAAAAATTACATGATTATATATATAAACACCAGACACGTACACACAATAAGACATAATACTTTGTGGTGGTTATGCATCTGTTTCAAGATTGAGAAGAGGCACTTTTTGGCGAGCTAAGTTTGGGTCATAATAAGATAAAATAATAGCTGAAGTGGTTTGTGGTGCCTGCATTAAAAGATTGTGTTGCTTTCTCCCCTCTTCTTTCTCTCTTCTCTCCCCCTCCCAAATCCCATTGATTTTCAGGGGATTGGAATAAATGTTTTTCATATCTATTTTCTGCTTTTTCTGTCCGTATCCGGACTTGCAGTGTATTAAGACATGAAAAAAGGCATGCTTGGTTATTATTTGTTTAAGGGGGAGGAGTTGTGGAATAAGAGAGACTTTAGGGGAATGAGTGTGTGCAAAAGAGAATCTACCCCCTCTTTCTACTGAGACTTGTACACAAGAAACATTGGGGGGGGGGGGAGAAGGAAGGAAGGATGTAGGCAGGCTTCTGATTGACAGATTCATGTTCCCTCTCATAGACTATTAATTCGCTCACATTGTCTCCTAGAGATATCTTTTTTTGTCCCATTTTCTTCCACTGTTCTCCTCCGCTGTGGTCTGAGAGGTTGATAAGAGTAATTTATGCATTGACGTGGATGAGTGTGAGAGCAAGAGATTTTGGAAGTTATGCTTTCTCCATCTCTCTCTTTTTAAGAAATGGTGGATTGGTATGTGGAGATGAGGAGAATTGAATTTAGGGATGTTTCATTTTTGGGGTAAAACTGTACCCTCATTTTATGAATCTGACATAGGATTCTTAATGGGTGGGTGGAGAATATGGGAAGCAGGTTAGGGAAAGCGATTGGTGTTTGTTTAGGGTCCAGACAGGCCTTTAAGAGCTAACTAACGTAATGGAAGGGATGACAGTCTTGTCTGTGGTGAGTAGAGAAGTGGATACATTTGTTTTCTTCTGTTTTTATTTTTGCTTAGAGTTGTGAGAACCCTCCTTGATAAATGGCAGGTTTGGGCTGGAAATGCTTCTCCTTATTCTGCAAGATCAATACATGTACCTGTTTTGGAAGGGGCAGCAAGGAAGAGGTCCATTGAAACAGTTTCTGTTGTTTGCCAGATAATTTGATATTGGAAAGGTGTTGTGTTGTGTGTTGTTAGCAGACTTCAAGGGAAAAAAATTGCACTCCAAAAATGCATACTATTTTTAAGCTTTATTTTGACTGCCAGTGAAGAAATAAAGATTACAAAGGAACTGAGTTTTTTCTGTCTCATCTAAAACAGCACTTCCATTTGAGGAAGCCCATTTGAGGTTAGCTCAGCTTATAAAGTTAGACTTTTCCAACACTCTTTTCCTGTTTATATAGGAACCCTGCTGTTGATAAGGGAATCAAAGTGTTAAGCTAGTATTTTGTCCTTGTTAATGTTCTAATGACATGTTGGTAGACATTCTTCCCTTTGAGTGTGTGACTGATTGTCTTTGTTGCTTACTATAAAGAACTGTGTGAGTGAGTTGCAAGGCCTTGTCACTGATGTTTATCCTCGCACATTTTTTCCCTCTTGAAACTCTAGGACTAAAAAGGAGAATTTAGTTTTCCATAGTTGCAACAATATTCTTTTTTCTTTTCATGTAACACCTGTCCTCCCAAAGCTTTGGGGAAAGAATAAAAAAGGGTTTATTCATTTATTTCAGATACATCCATTGCATTGCATCTTCTCTGGATCACAGCGCTAATAGATTGTAGGGTATGACAATCTATGGGATTATTATCATGCAATCAATCATAATATTATGGTCTAAATTAGCTTCTTAAAGTGTCTTGAATGTAATGTCAGTTGAAGTGGAGGAAACAATTTTTGCAAACAATTTTGCAAAGTTTACCGTTTCTCTGAAGTTTGGGTTATTGTCCACTGGAATCACTGAAAGGGTTAGCAATGCACAAGTACCTAATCACTGCTGGCGTAATGAATCTCCTGTGTTGGGTGAAGTTATTTGGGGAGAGAAGGGAGAAGTAGCATCTGGAAATGCAAGGTAGTGAGATGTTATGGGGTGTATGTATATAAGGTCTTAGCAAATTTAGATGGCTGATACCATTTTGTAAAATTTCCTGCTTTTCAGGGGGTTGGATGGTCCTTGGGGCCCTTCCAACTCTACAATTCTATGATTCTATGAGATTCTGGTATGAAATTTAACACTGCTTTCAATAGAACCATTCTTTCAAAGCAGCCATATTTGTTGTTAAACAACCTGTAAGAGACTTAATATGAAAGTTTAGCTTAAGATCTTTCAGTGAATGGGGTTTGTTCAGGAGTCACATTGGTTGTTGCTCCTATGTAAGCTTTCAAAATACAGTGGAACCTCGGGTTGCGGACATAATCCGTGACGGAGACACATCTGCAACCCGCAGCGTTCGGATCCTGAAGTGCCATGTATGCACAAGCGCTAAGCGCTTTTGCGCATGCGCGAGCGGCAATACCCGGAAGTAATCCATTCCAGTGCTTCCGGGTTTCCTGCGGTCCTCAACCCGAAAACACGTAACCTGAAGCATCTGTAACATGAGGTATGACTGTATAGAATAATGCTGTGAGAAAAGAGACTGATGCTTTACTGCAAAAGGAAACAATGTGTCTTATTAAATGATTGCCACATTGCCACCTTCATTTGAATCTGTGAATGAATTGGTAGTAGAATGTGTACTGTTCATCACCAGATTTCTGTGTTTGAGAGCTAGTGTGCATATTATTTGAATATATTTGATTCACATTTCCGTATCCTACTTGGCCAAAATTATACACAGTCTGGTTAGACTGTCATCTTACTCAACAGTTGAAGGAAACAAGAGAATGCCATCTTGAGCTGAAGGGCATGCATATTTAGTAGTACATAACAATTGCCTATATTTTCTTCTGGTTGTGGTAGATGCTAAGCTACGCATTGATAGACTACAATTAATTTGTTAACAAACATTTATTTTCAACTTTTTTATTTTATTTTAGTGAGGTATGCAATGCTATCAGTGTAGAAGGAAAGTGTGATACAAATCCAAGGGTACTTGAAACTTGCTAAATATTGAGGTTGGCAAGAAATGCCATAAACTTTTAAACTCTTATTTATTTGTATACAAATATATTCTGCCTCCTGGACCTCAAAAGGGCCCCCCAAAGTGGTTATTAGCACTTGTAAATCTTAAGCCCAATTAAGTGTTTCAAGAAAATGGCCAAGTTTTAATCTACACTTCCCTTATTTACCTGTAAAGAATGAAATTTCCAGGGTCTATCTTTTAATTTCAGAAATAGTTTTATGATACCGTAACTTTGGATATTCTATCTGTGCATCTCAAATATGAAGGGCCCTGTAAAATACCCAGAAATGAATACTTTTCATTTCTGTTAGTTCTGTATGGGCATTTACAGAACAAGACTGAAAACCTCCACATTGTGAAGGATTAAATTATTCTTCAGAGACTTTTTTTAAGTCTTGAAGATATGGGAGTTCAGACAGAAAATACATGGGAAGATTTCTTTAGACTTTGATCAGATCCTTATCTTCAATCTTAGTTTTCACCCAGTCCCTGCATGTTGTGATTACCTAGCTTTATGATCACATATGATTGTGCAGATAACCATTTAAAAGGTAGTGTGGCTCACATCTGGAGCAAAGTGGCCCAAAGTTGTGATACTTGCCATAACATGGATTTAAACTTAGAGATTTAAAAGCTCAAATTAATTTTTCTTGCACAATCCTCCAATATTTGCAGCTCACATACTTTAAAAAAGCCATACTTTAAAAAAATCTTGTTCCATTTAAGAGATTCTGTTTTGTTCAACAAATCGTTAGGAGCAATATGTTAATCACATCTAGTTCAACAACAAATAATAATAATAATTAATAAAAATGTTTTCCTGTGCTGACTGATACCAACAATTCAAATGTCTTGAATTTACTTTGCCAAAAGGTTTTCTTTTAACAAAAATAAATATATTGTTTCTGGAACATGCACTTTTGATTCACTAGGTCATAACTTGGTGGCTAGTATGTGTACATGTTGTTGTACAATGCATGTATGAGGGGACTAGATGCTGATACGCTCAACTTTCTTTATGTTTGAATGTAAATTTATTAAGCAGAATATGATTTAATACTAATGCATGTTGAATGAGTTGGTTTGCACTTAATGCTTGGGTTTGTTCCAGCTCATGCCTATAGTGCTAAACTTCAGTGTTATGTGCACAAGCTGGAATGAGCCCAAGGTTACAGTGGGAGGAATTCTATAGTCTCACTTTCTGCAGATCCTCAGGTTTTATTATGTATGAACCAAAGCCAAACTAGTTGGTTTGCAACTGTCATGCTTTGAACTTGACTTGTTTAGAAATCGATTAGTGTTTGTTTTAAACCAAGGGTAGTCAGTGTGGTTGGTGAACTCCAGATACAATTAGGCTACAACTCCCAACAGCCCCAGCCAGCATGGGCCAATGGCAGAAATTAAAGTCCAGCAACACCTGGAGGGCACCATGTTGCCTACCCCAATTTTAACCCATTTTCTGGTTTGAACATAGCAGGCTAGTATTTCTGGAAACTGAAATGAAATACTACAGTAGTAGGTGTTCTCCTTATCATGCAGGAAAAAAGAGGGGAGTGCTTGGGCTTCTTTCAGCATGTTCCGTGGTTTAGCGTTAAGTGCAAACGAGTCCTATGCTTACTTATCTGCTGACCTTATCTGCTGGAAATACTGGTAAAGAACAGCTCGATCCAGCCCCGCAGCAGTTGTCACTTATGAATGTTCATATGGATACAATGTGCTCTTGAACAAATTGTTGGAATTCATTGCCATGTGGAAGAAGTTTGTTCCTCTGCAACTGTCAAAGTGCTGTGACATCATATGTGTTGCTGCCTGACCTTTTGGCTTTGAAAATGAGTGTGGGAGTTTCCAGTGTACAGGGATTAGTGGGATCAAAGAGGAGGTAGAACTCTGTGCTCTGGGGATCAACCTCGTGCTGAAGAGCAAATTGCCTGGAGCTAATTAGTCATGTACATCTCTGCATTCGTGTGCTCAACCTTCTTTAAAAAAAAAAAAAGGTGTGCACATGTGCTTATTGTGCTCTTGAAGTGAACTGTGTGATGTAAAGTAAGTACTGTACATTAAAATTAGACCTTATTGGTTCAGGGAAAGTGCATCAAACTACTAGCTCAGGAGAAATGCATCAAACAATATAACTATTTAAATAGGTTTACTAGTAGATTGCAGGAAAAAACAGCTTGAATTGAAGCCTAACAAACAGTTGTTTGGTTAATAGTATATTGTCTGTAGGCTGTGCCATAATTCACTTGTGATTTATCTGAAAACTTGGCCATAGCAACTCTATTCTTGACCCACTTTTTCTTTCTCATCTCATCTTCAGTTCTCATACTGTAACCGGCTTGTTACAAGATATTACAGCTTCCTGAGTTTTCCTTAAATAAGCCTTCCTGAAATGTACTGCATGTGGACGACTGTCTAATTTAGAACTGTATCTGGCATACTATCCAATGAATGAGTAAAATATAGCAACAGTTGAAAACAAATGCCTCACCAAGGAAGTCTTATTCCTACGCCCACTATGTAGTGAACTGAAATTATTAGTAGTTCTTCCACAGTATTCTTGAATAAGTTAGTATGTGCTTTGTTTCCCTCGCTTCTGTGTTTTTTTAAAAAACCGAATGCTCCTTTTTTTAACATGCTACACTTAAAGATCAGTAAATCCGCCACTTAGATTTTGTCTATTTGTATTTGGAGTTCAAAAGCTTTGTAATGATTTTTGTTGGATACTTATAAAGAACATTTTTATACAGGAATGTTCTGAATAAATATTTGTGGGTATAGATGCCACAAGGGATATTTACAGGATACAATGAAAGTATGGATTTTCTTGGTTGGATATCAGCAATTGAACCGGCAATGACTTGTCACGTTCAGCCTATAGTGGCTGTCAATTCTGGTGAATGTGACAGCTGAAAGCCTAGTTCTCCTGCTTTCATTTGTTTCATTTTTGGTCATGTTACATTGCTTGAAGATTAATGGAAGGCATGTCACAAATGTTCAGAGCACTGGGGCTTCTTAGGATACAGATGAGGGAATTTCTCTTAGAATTCTTCTGATTTTCTGATGTAGGTTGAACTGTGGTCGCACCATCACTGTTGAAGTCTAAACTTGTGCAAAAACTGAAGTTTTGACTGAAAATAAAAGGATATTGGATAGTCAATCCCCCTCAGTCCCCCCCACCTTCATTTGTACACCCACCCCCTTTCCAGTTTACTTCATGCATTTGGATGAAATAGATTCAGATTTATGAGTGTTCTGTTCCTCTAAGCTGCCAGAGCTGTTGTCTTTATTGTAACCTTTGAAACAAGTAGCAAAGGTGACCTTGACCTCATTCACATGTACCCATGGGAGTTGGAAGCTGCTTCCCTATGCTGTGATTCTTGTACTGCTCGCAAGTGTCCGTGAATGGCTCCTCCAATATTGGTGCTCCAATTCCATGAATCTTTCTACCCTTTTGTCACCCTGCTGGGATAGTAGGGCAGTGATTATTAGCATGTGATTGCTTGTTCTTTGTTGTATGGTATCACAGCACAGAAAATCATTGGGAGAAGCATTAGAGGAATTAGGATAGCAAGGTGTTGGGGCATTGTGTTAAACAAAACAAAGAGAAAATAGTCTAATTATTAAAAATAAACTAAGAAGCCACAATTATTAAAAATAATTAAGACACCACGATTCAACAATTGAAGGTTGGCATGAAATACTTTCAGGGGAAAAAATGTTAGAAGGCATATATATTTATGAATAACTAGACAGATTTCATTGATGTGGCAAAACATTTCAGCTTCAACCTTTGTCAACTGCTCTGATAAAAATGGGAGGCTACTGTTGCCAAGGTGGCAATGACAGAGCTTTGAAGATGGAATGTTCAGAGGGACTTCATTTGCTGAAGCTAAGTGATGTTGGTACTATCATCCAGGTTGAAACAGTGTGGTAATACTGTGTCCATTGTGCACAACCAGAAGTTTTTCTTCTTTGCTAACATTGTACGTTCAGTTGATAACTCTGTTGTAGTTATTGATACATCAGACAGAATATGGTTCTCAGAACTAAAATGTTTTATCAATTGGTTGTTCCACTTAATTGAATAAAATTGCATATTTATGGTTTGTAAAGTGTTTGCAAAGGTCAGTTGTAGTTATACCTACATACTGAATATGACATCCTGGTTTTGTACTTGGTAACGCGGGTGGCGCTGTGGGTTAAACCATAGAGCCTAGGACTTGCCGATCAGAAGGTTGGCGGTTCGAATCCCCGTGACAGGGTGAGCTCCCGTTGCTCAGCCCCTGCTCCTGTCAACCTAGCAGTTTGAAAGCACGTCAAAGTGCAAGTAGATAAATAGGTACTGCTCCAGCGGGAAGGTAAACGGCATTTCCGTGTGCTGCTCTGGTTTGACAGAAGTGGCTTAGTCATGCTGGACACATGACCTGGAAGCTGTACCCTGACTCCCTCGGCCAATAACGCGAGATGAGTGCCACAACCCCAGAGTCAATCACGACTGGACCTAATGGTCAGGGGTCCCTTAATATAGATTGCAGGGCTGGCAGGTGATGTACTGTGTCCTACCTATCCTGGTGCTATCGAAGGTAACTGCCTCCATGAAATACACACAGGTGATACAGAACCAAATTGATTAAAGAGGCAACCAAATACAGATGTTACCCAAAAAGAAACATGAGCATAAAATATTCATAATAATTATGCATAACAGTAAATTCTTGACTTATACAATAATTAAGACATACTTAAAAAGAAAATATTTGTTCCCAAGAGAGGCCACATGACCTTGTCTAAGTTGGGTAGCCTTCACTGTGAATTTAGCTGTATTAAACATTACAGACCTATCTGTACTGGAAAACCCATATTAAATCTTATCCATACCACTGAGGACATCAGCCACCACTAAAGTTTTCTCTATCTTTGCTTAGTTATTTTATACAGTTTACAGTATACATATAGTGTGTGGTATCCTCTATCCAAGGGCTACTGCATATGCAAAAACACTGATCTCTGGGGATTTTTTTAAATCTCCCTTCCAGGCAATTGGCTTCATAGTCTGAAAATGTGGGCCTGAAAGTACTTTGCAGAGAAAATGTGGATTTACTTCAGGCAAGTATTTTCTCTTCCCTGCGGCGTGAGTTTAAGGTAGGGAAAGTATCAGAAAATCTGGATAAAGTAATGGCATTCATGTTCTTTTCTGTAAACAGGTATTGGAGCCACACTTTAATATTGTAATGGCTAAGTTGGATTTCAGCAGCAAAAAAGGCGCTGGGCCTAGTCCATGTGTCCTCATTCTTTTACTATTAGCTGTCCAGGTATTTGTGGAGGATGACTGAGACTGCTCTATTATATGCAATTTTAGCCAGTTCATTTATTGTTTATCTCATTTTTTAAAAATAAGAGAAAATTACCCTGAAAATGAAATATAAAATTGGCATTACTCCAGCTTCTTCCCACAGGGGAGCTGTGGGCGTTCCTGGTAGGAGACCAGTTATGTACAAATAAATCTATTGGGTACTACCATAGAAATGAATGGGTCCCAAAATGCCCCAGATTTCCACCCCATATGTCAACTGAAGCAGGAGAAACTGAGGAGTAGCTCTGGTTTAGCAAACTTGCCTGCTCAGTATGCAAAGATCACGTCTTGCCTGTATACAGTTTGCATCAAACCATCACATAGGATGATGGCTTGACTTGTAAGGCAAGTTGTTTGAATAAATAATACCTGCATATTGCACAATATTAAAATAGATGGGCTGTGGATCATAGTTCTCTGTTCCCAGTAGTCCAGGGGTCGGCAAGGTTTACCTCACCTGGGCTGGTTCACTCCAGCAGAGATCCCTTTGTGGGCGGGATTGCGCACACACCCATGATTTCCGGCGTCTGCATCTGCGCAGACACAATTTCCGGCATATGCGCATGCACAGACGCGATTTGTGGCGACGTGGAAGCGAGTCACTGTGCTGCGCCAGTTTAGCGCAGTGCACGGGGACTTGCCAAGCGGGCAGCTTGGTTCAGGGGTGGCTCATGGGCCAGTTAAATGACCCCCATGGGCCGCTTATGGCCCATGGGCCTTAGGTTTCCAACCCCTACAGTAGTCTATTTCTAATAATCTGTTCACTGAGTAGAGCTTCCTCTACTTTTAACTGGATATTGAGATCCCACTTCAGACTGTACTTCCTTTGCTGCCTAAAAACCTGTCACAAAGACTGACGATCCAGTTGGTCTCCCACTGCAAAATTCTTAGTTAAGGGGCACATTTGTGATTACATAATAAACAATCTATCTCACTCCCACTGTTTAAGGAGGAGCATGTAAAATTCCCTTCTGTGTTATCCTGTCCAGCTCCACAGGTTTTACAGGAATTGGAATTACAAGGACAAAATTTAGAATTACTGATAGGTGGCAGAAGTAGAGCTCTCAGTAATAGTTTGTGAAGACTTGGAGGCTGGTGAATTGCTTTAATAGGAGGCTTGTTAACAGCTTCAGCAAGACATTCAGAGTTTGCCAACAATGGGTAGCGTTCTCTGATCGCCAGGTGATAGATTTCCATCTAGCGTCTCCCAGCTACCACAAATAGGACGTGTTGTTCATTGTTTATTGACACCTACTTTGATGGAGGAGGTTTTTTCTAGACAGGATGGAGGCCTAGTGGATGCTGCAATTACAATTACAAGAAAGAAATCAATTACAAGAAGAGAATATCCTCTAGGCAGAATGTGTCCGCTGATCCTTCTTAGATATTGTTGTTTGTTGTTGTAAGTGTGCTTGATTCTGAGAGCCAAGCTGTAGACAATTTTAAAAAAATGTTTTGCTTAGCATCGTTCCTGGTATAGGTATTTTTTGACATTACTGGGTTTGTTTCAGAGTTTAGTGATTATTTTGTTGTTCTTAATGTTGAGAAGGACATCCAGAGTAAGGGATGTCTGGATTTTCAGTGTTGCTACTGAAGGTTAAGTTGATAGTTAGGTGTATAGAATTGATGTAGTTTTTTTAAAAATTGTCCTAAGGCCCTTTTTACCATTGGTCTAAACCAGAGGTCTGCAACCCGTGGCTCCGGAGCCGCATGTGGCTCTTTTACACCTTTGCCGCGGCTCCGGGGCGGATACTAGCGAGGGGAGGAGGCGCATTGTGCGCCCAGACACTCCCCACTGTGGCGGACGCTGTACTGGCTGTGACGTCGCATGGGGGCGCTGCGTGCGTTAGTCACGCACCGTCCCGACGTCACCTTCCCGCCCGCTACATTGTAAGGGGCATGTACGCTGGTCACTGCATTGAAAGGGGGCATGTACGCTGGTCACTGTTTTGAAGAGGAGTGAAGAACACACACATAAAAAGTTAACTTGTTAATTTAACGTTTATTTCTATGAGGAGGAGTAATTCTGAGGGGTCAAACAAATAAATAATAAAAAAGTGACAAAAAAGTTATTTTTATAATGACGAGTTTTGCGGCTCCCAGTTTTTTTTTCTTCGGAAACGGGTCCAAGTGGCTCTTTTTGTCTTAAAGGTTGCAGACCCCTGGTCTAAACCATAAAGATGCCATCAATGTATTGCCACCATATAAGTTGTTTGCTAATAAGCTGTTTGAAGATGTCCAAGTTTTTCCATGAACAGATTTGCACACATACATGCACATGCCCTGCTTAATGCCAAAAGAAATCAAATGCTTGATCCAGATGGCTTCACAGCAAGTTATTACAAAATCTTTTCCTCTATATTAGTCAAACTAGCCATTGAAATCAGTTAGTGAACTATTGAGGAACAGTACATTATACCTGAAACATGACTAGATACTACTATTGTGACAATTCCTAAAGAGGGAAAATACTTATGAGTTACCTCATGCCAATTTATCACTTAAACCTCTAGTATAAGATTTTTATTGATACATTATCAAGAATAGCAAATGGTATTATACACAAATACATATACAGAAACAGCAATCAAGTAGGCTTCGTTTGGAAGAGGAAAATGAGAAATAATATATGTTTTTTAGATTCTGCATGCAGTAAGGAAGAGGAAATGGTGATGCTGTTCCAATATGCAGAAAAGGCCAATGACAATATTGAGTGACCCTTTTTATCTGAAATACTAAAATATTTCAACTTTGTAGCATCATTTTGTACATGGGTATAAACTACTTAATGGAATCCAGAAGCAAAAGTATGTCCTAATGGGATTATTCTGCCAGGTTCTAGACAGTTTCCTGTTATTGCCTTTGTTTATTCTAGCAATCAAATAGTTAGCAATTATAATGAGAGCATAAAAATACAATAGAGGTTAAATCAATAAATACACAGAAAAACATTGATATGGATTTGTCTCATGCTCTGTCTTTCTGATTTCCAATCCTTTCCACTCTGTTCAAGTTTCTGCTGCCCCATCACTTCTAGTGTGTCCCACTAACCTTCCAAATGGACCACCAGTTTCCTAGAATGATGGAGCTGCTGCTGCTCCCACCATTCTTCACAGATACTCATGGACCACAGTTTAGGAAGGTTAAAACAGCTGTAATTAGAGGTTAAAACAGCTGTAATTATCAATATTTGGAGTACTGGTGACTGACTGACACTAGCTCATAGTGGTCACACTTTTTAATAATTATTTTTCATACTATAAACTGATGAGAGTTCCTATAACATGACTAAAATGTAGGCTTAGATCCTTGTTAATGTAGTGGCTGCTTATGAGGGGTAAGAATCGCCTCCCCAGTCAGGTTAGGAAGTCTTTGTTTTGAAGAGAGTGATTGTTCCCACTCCTTCCTTTTTTTCCGGCCACTGATGTGCCATACAGGTACGTGCAGTTGTGTGGTAGTACAACATTGTTAGCAGCTCTTGTAGGGTATATTTGCAAAGTGGATGTATAGGTTTTGTACAGAATCTAGGAAAAGCTGACATTTGCAAGGCCATCTGTTGCTGGTGCAGAACTGGCAGTTGTAACATATAAACTGGTCTGTAGCCCTGTTCTCAGTCCAAATGGAATTATTTGTCAGGTTAGATACTCAGTTTGCTATTGGCCTGATCCTAACTTGACATGGATTTTGCACACCGATAGAGCATATCAGCGATCTTGATATTTTGGGTGGTCTTGGCACCCAAGTCAAAACTGTTGATCACTGGGACCTTGCCCCTTTAGCTCAGTTATGTACATGTCTTCCTGGTGGTAACACCCACTGAGTTCAATGAATTTCATTATCAGGTAAACATCCACAGGATTGTGACTTTAGGCTAGTGTGCTATACACAATTAACTTGGAGTTGCTCTAATGTTTCTGTCTACTGATGTTTTAATCTGTGTTTTTAATTTTGTTTTTTGTATGTTTTGTTATTTTCTGTAAGCCACTTTGAGACATATAGTGAAAAGAAGATATAAATTCTATAAAGAAATCCCACTGGTTTAGTGCTGTATTGCGCTTTTCTCTGCCATTTACACCTGTACTAAAATATTGGTGATAATCCAAAGCATTAAAGTAGATAAACTGAGTTGTCTGCATTTTTGAGAATTGTCTATCTGTTGGTCTCACTTAAAAAAACCCCAAATTGTACAATCAGTGCTACTCTTAGTGGCAGAGATCGTCACAGGTCAACTGTGCATGTCAAAAGTTCATATGACATTGTTCTAGTGTAGAGTTGAAGGGGTAACAGTTCTCTGTTTACTTTACTTAGGGCTCATCCATGCTGGAGATAATGTGGATTTCAACAGTGTGTGTGTGTGTGTGTGTGTGTGTGTGTGTGTGTGTGTGTAATCCAAATGATGTCCTCTTCATCCAAGTAGCAGTCCGTAACCCCCCCCCCCCCCCAAATCTGGATATTCCCAGTCTCTGAATAATCCAATAGGGGAAGAAAATCCAACATAAAATCACACATTACATGACTGAGTGCACTGAAGCACATTCTGTGGGTAGGCTTTAGAAGGGTGGTGACGTTTTGCTGGATGCAATCTATTACCTCACCCCTACTTCTGTGTTGTTTCTATCAGTCCATAGGAAGGATGCAGCCCGCCCTTTTTCACCTGCTGTTGCTTAAGGCATATTTATGGTATTATTATTTTTTACACAGCTCTTTTGTGTAGAAGT